CGTGCCCAAGATCCCGAGAGGAGAATGGAGGAGAGGGGATTGCGGCGTGACCATCCCCCCTGGGGGGTGATTTCTCGCTTTCTGTCTCTCTGTCTCTCTCTGTCTGGCTGACGAGTGCACACGCCCTATAGCGAAAACCTCTAAAAAAAAAAAAAAAAAAATAGTGATTCTTGTAGACCAGAAATTTATTTTCATCTTACTCAGTTCTGTTGACTGTTGACCAACTGTGGAGAGTCTTGTTTGCTTAAATTTGAAATATCAGCCCAAGCACTGACAGTAGCATACTGACCTACAGTGCTGGAAGCCCCATGAAGACTACATGTTCTGGGGCTGTCAGGTGGCGTGGTGGTTTAGGGTGCTGGACTCCCACATGGCCAACCACAGTTCAAGTCCTGGACCTGGTAGCTTGCTTTCTCACTCTCTCTCAATCTCTCTCGGTCCCTCTCTGACCAAATATATATAAGAAAAAATGATTCTTAAAAAAAAAAAAAAAAAGACCATGTCTGACTGCGCATGATTCTGAAGCTCACTGGGTGCTTGTTTGTTCACCCAAGATCCTAAGGAGCTCGAGGACTGGGAGAAGGGACTGTAGCCCAACGAGGCCCTGTGCAGGGTGACACTCTCTCTTGCTCTCTCAGTCTCTTACATGCATGCACAGGTACACTTTCTTATGAATAAAATAAACTTTTTAAAAAATTATGCTGTTTGAAGTATCAGATATTTTCTAGCCTCATCACTCTTGTTTATTTGCTCAAATAATATAGCCAGCAAACATTTAAGACTAAAGTAACCTTTTCAGAAATTTAGATAGTCTGTTAAGCAACATTTTTTTCTCTTTTACATTGGCATTGAAAGTGCAGTATTTTAGAAAACAGTCACGCTGTGATAAATATTGTAGTTCACATTAAATACTCAAGAGCTAATTTAAGCAAATTACTAAAAAAAAGCCAATTTATTGCTAATCCATTCCAGTTTTAATACATTTCATACATTTAACAATACATGTTATTTTTACATTTGACTAAAAAAAAATGAAGGTCTGATTTCTATCCTCACCTGTACATATACTAAGGAATAGCCTGGAAATTTGGATACACACTTAAATATTATCTTACGGTTGGGAAGTTATACTTTTCTGTTTTTATTTAAAAAAATTTTTATATCATAAGGCACATGTGCTCACCAGAGAAGAGAGAGAGATGCAGAGAGGGGAAAATGAGAAATCACCCCCCAGGTGGGAATGGGCATGCTACAATCCCTTTTACCTTCTTTCTGGATCTTGGCTATGTGCACACACATGGCTGGCATGATTATCAGCCACTGGGTCAAAGACTTGAATTGCCATCAGTTACATGGGAGTCTAGCACCTTAACTACCATGCCACTTGCTGGCCCTTACACTTTTATTATTGCTGTCACTATGCTCCAAACAGTTTTATCATCTCTTTTAGGATGACATGAACTAGCTATGAACAACACTGAAAACCAATCAGGCCCGGCCATGGTGGTGCAGGCAAGAATACACTACCATACGATGGCTGAGCCTGCACGGGAGGCCCGAGTGCAGGCCTGGCCCATCTGAGCAGTCAGGCATAGTGGTTTGTGCCTGTGGTCCTCACTAACTGGGAGGGTGACGTGTGAGGATCATGAAAAACATGCTGGACACATGTGTGCATGCCCAAAATCCCCAAGGAGGGAGAAGAAAGGGAAGGAATTGTGTATGACCATACCCTGTGGGAGATGCTTTCTCCTTTTCCCTTTGCTCGCTCTGTCTTTCCAGCAAGCACACGCACCCCCTGGCAAATTTTTTTTTAAAATGGTAGTGGTTTCATTTTTTTAATGATGCTTATGAAGATCAAGTGTGCTTTCTCCCTGGGAAGGAAAAAATGTTTTATGTAATCTAACAATTGTGACGTATTTTTTTTGGAGAGGTTTTTGCTATAGGGCGTGTGCACTCACCAGAAAGACAGAGAGAGATAGAAAGTGAGAAATCACCCCCTGGGGGGGATGGTCACGCCGCAATCCCTTCTCCT